TCCCGTGCAGACGCTGCCGCTCTCTCTGCCAGACTGGCCACTGGCCTCCTTTCTGGTCTCTTGCCCTGCCCAGCAAGCCCCATTTATCTGCCAGCAGAGAGTTGGGGCTCTGTGAGGTCACAAAGACTCAGGAAAAAAGGGGTTGGGTTCCCAAGGCAGCACCCTCGGGATTGGCTGAGTCCTGAAGATGATGTCAACAATCCCTCTGATCATGTGATTCACCCATAAAAACTTGCATTTTGCATCATTATTTTAATTTTTTAAATTAGTGGCCTATAAATGTATCCCTCTAATTGTTTGATCTCCCCATGTTGGCCTTCTGACTAGGGTTGCCAGATACATGGGTACCAAAAGGAGGACATAGAAAGACAAAAAAGAAGACAAAGGAGGACGTATTGAATGTTTCATTTGAATCGTTCTGGATTAAACCCACCATCAATACAATTTTATTACAACAGCTGCCAATAAATATATCCTAGTGAACCGATCAAGAAACAGTCATGTTAAAAAATAAAAATAAATTCAATGGAGGCTTTTTTTCAAAATACCAAAAAAAAAAAATACTTAAACAGCCAATTGTGTCCTAACCCACCCCGGCCTGGCTGCGGGATCCCCTGGCTGCTTGCACTCTGCACAGGCTCAGAGGCAACCTTGCTAATTTGGACGCCCAAACAAAGTTCCGGTGCAGGCAGAGGGAGAGTGGTGCCGGGCAAAACCGAATGAGGCAGCCTCCCCTCCCCTGAGGGCCATAAGTTCAAGGCTGGGGACTGTGGGAGTTGGAGTCCCCGAAAGGGACTTTGAACATGCACAATCTGGGTGCTTAGTTCCGGTGCAGGCAGAGGGAGAGTGGTGCCGGGCAAAACCGAATGAGGCAGCCTCCCCTCCCCTGAGGGCCATAAGTTCAAGGCTGGGGACTGTGGGAGTTGGAGTCCCCGAAAGGGACTTTGAACATGCACAATCTGGGTGCTTGCCTTCCCATTGATGCGCTCAGGCGCTGCTTGCTCCTGCTGGGCTTGGTGGGCGGCCCTCTGCTTGCACTGCCTTTATGGGCTCCACATGGGCTGGGCATGGCGGATCACTGAGCAGCCACAGCGGGTGGCAGGAGAGGGCGAGGGCTGTACTCTATAAGCACTGGCGGGCAGCCGGGGGTGGGAAAAGACAGGGGGAGGAGGGTCATCCAAAATTATAACATAAAATATACAAAAGCCTGAAATTTTAAAGGTTTTTATCTTTGCCTGCCGGAGGACATTAGGCTAAAAAGGAGGACATGTCCTCCTTTTGCCTGACGCCTGGCAACCCTACTTCTGACAGGATTCTAGGCTGATGCATTTAACCATTGCAGTGCAGGAGCAGTTGTTTTTTCTAAACTAAAACCTCAGCATTCGGGTTTTAATTGCAGTATTGGCACTTTGAAATAAATAAGTTGGTTTTGTGCTGAAGTTTGGGCAATCGGGCTCAAATAGGTTCACCATCACTGGGTTAGGACAAGAGTCCCTCAAGTGAGATGGCTACCCCAACAGATCTTGTTCATTTGCTTGGGGAATTCTGGGGTTAAAACAGTAGCACAAAGAAGCACACAAACCTCCCCACACCTGATAGATAGAAATGTCAAGGAAGTGCCAGAGCTCCCCCTGGGCAGTCCAGCTGCTGACACCCAAGAGGATGACAGCTCATGGTGAAGTCACTCATATCTCTGGATTCAGGCAGCCATTTCACACCTAGGTAGGGTTGGGAACAATGGTGAATCACTTTTGGGCTAGTCATTGTGTTCTGGAATTTTCCTCCTTCATATAAACACAGCTTTTAATTTTGCATTATGCAATCAGCAAAGTTTGTGGAATGTTGATGGATGAATGTGGTTTTTTTCTTGTGGGGGGCTTTGATTTGAGAGATCACAATAAGGTTAGGGACTCTCTTCCTCCTTTCCTTTGTCCTTTTCCCCTTTTTTTCTTGTTGGTGTATTGCAAGGAAATGTTGGTGCTTGTAGTCCATTGGGCAAAGTACAGTGGTGCCTCACTTAACGACGTTAATTCGTTCCAGCGAAATCGCTGTAGAGCAAAAACGTCGTAAAGCGAAATAAAAAAGCCCATTGAAATGCATTGAAAACCGTTCAATGCATTTCAATGGGCTGAAAACGCACCATCCAGTGAAGATCCTCCATAGGAGCGGCCATTTTTGGGTGCCTGTAAAGTGAAAAATGGCTCCTAAACACAGCGGGGAGCCATTTTGTACACCCGGTGACCATTTTGAAACCCAACGATCAGCTGTTTTTGATCATCATAAAGCGAAAATCAGTTCCCGAAGCAGGGAACCGATCATCGCAAAGCAGAAAAACCCCATTCAAACCATCGTTTTGCGATCGCAAAAACATCATCGTCAAGCGGATTAGTCGTTAAACGGGGTAATCGTAAAGCGGGGCACGACTGTAAGAGGAACTGAATAGTTCTCAGAACACATCAGCCTTTCAGCTCCTTTTCAACTAGTGGCTCCCAGCCTCGGGTCCCCAGATGTTTTTGGACAAAAACTCTCAGAAGCCTTCACCACCAGCTGTGCTGGCCAGGATTTCTGGGAGTGGTAATCCAAGAGCAGCTGGGGACCCAAGGTTGGGAACCACTGTTTTAGAATGTTCATGCATTTTGGTGTCACATTGGACAAAATTGTTTTGGCGTCTTGCCTCTATATGTTTCTGGAAGCTGGGTGACTGATGGGGAGAATCGCCTATGCAGTATGTCTATCTCTAATGCGCACTGGTTGTGTCTTTGTCATTTAGAGTGTTCTGGCAGATTATCACTTTCCTGAAGTAAAATGCCACTTAGGAGGCAACTCTCCCCAAACCTGAAAAAGTACTTGATTTTCTGGAATGTAAACACCCTGAGCCATCCATTTAAGGTCCACTATATTTCCATAATTTATGGTGGTTGGTTTCTAGGGATGCAAGGAGAAGTGGACGTTTTGTCTCACTGATAGTGCTGCATCAGAGCCCCACACTGGGTTTAGCCCAGGATTTTAGGAAAGTGAACTAAAATATATTTAATGTTAGAATGTAATTGGTTGAATTATTTACTGAAGAGATCAATGCATTTCTGCAGTTTTAATTTTTCTCTGATTACCCAATTTCTCTATATAATTAACCATCTTAGTATTTTTTTATATACAGCTCTGGTTGTCTTTTTAGCTGACAAATGGGGATAAAAAATAAAGTGCCCTCATAAATAAAATTTTTAAATGCAATAAAAATCATGTCCACAGCCTTTTCAGACTTTCCTTCTGATTGATCCATATTTCTTTTCTTCCCAGCCTTTGGAAGGCCAAGTTTGGGAACTGTTATGTGAAGCAGACAAAACTGCAGCAGAAAATAAAGATCAAGAACCTGTGTATGACGCCATGGCAGAGACGCTGGGAGACGCTTGGGAGTCTCTGGTTCTTGTTCTAGAGAAGCGCAGAGCACTTCTGAAACTTACTTCAGATTTTTTTGAAAATGCTCTGGAGGTTTGTATTCAAAAAGTGACTGCTTCTGTTTCATTTTCAAGAAAATTGTGCATGAATATAAAAAAAGGTTCCCGTTGAGCCCACACTACCATGAAATAAGTGATGCTGAATGTCACAAAAACTAGGATTTTCCACCTCAGGTGCCAAAATAATTTGGCTGGCCCACAGGTCTTGAGCAGCTCAACTTGAAAGGTAGGTAGGTGAGTTTGTGTCCCACTTGCTGCCTCACCACCTTCTTCAAATTTTCCAGAAAAATTAAAATTAATTTTGTGTATTCGCAAAGGCTTTCACAGCCAGGATCTAATGCTTGCTGTGGGTTTTTCGGGCTCTTTGGCCATGTTCTGAAGGTTGTTCTTCCTAACGTTTTGCCAGTCTCTGTGGCCGGCATCTTTAGAGGACAGCAAATGGGTAAGTAAAGCTCTCATAAAGGAATAGTACAATACAGTACGTAGGGCAGACAGCTTTTATGGAATCCAGGATGTGACAGGAAACCATTGTACGGCTTTGTGGGCGGTGGGTTGACTAAATGATGAGAAAGGAGGTCAGTTGAAAAAGAGGATTGGGCTCTTGAGTGACAAGCCACACATGCTGACATTTTGTGTTTGATAAAAGCTGTAGGAGTTCTATTATTTATTTGTTTCTTTAGAATATTTTTATCCCACCTTTCTCCTTAAAAGAAACCCAAAAGACAATAAAAACAGTAGGTACAAATATTTTAAAAAGGATGAAAGAAGTATTGCAATAAAAACAGTAATAAAATCAATCCTCTATCCATCTGCTCACACTAAGGCAGGTGGTTGATCTTTACAACAGAGAACTTCACAGACATGAGGGACTACAGTTGGCCAACAGGAGGTGGGAGTTGAAGATTAGTAATGAGTGAGAGAAATGAGCAAAGCATAAACCAGGTTTTTCCCCCCGAGGGGACAAAGAATAAAAGTAAATGTTGTAGGTAATGGGTGGGGGAAATCCTTAAACAATCTCCACAACCTGCTTATTCTGTAAAAACTGCACTCTCCTCCTCCACCTTATGCAATGAAGAAGTAGTGGATGGGACTTCTGGCCTGTCTTTGGGCCTGGTTACACTGACAATAAGAACCAGTTGATGCTGTGTGGATCCATTGAAACTGACATTGAACCAATGCAGTGGTGCAAAAACATGAGTCACCATGGTTTTTATATGTACGATCTTCCCAAACCACAAAAAAACATGGGCCCCAGACACGCCTTTGATGGGTGGTCTGTGGGCACAGATGGCACCTATAATCTGATGGTTGTTTAGTGGGGATCCCATATAAAAATCATGAAATCACCTCTAGAGATGGGATATTTGGAAACCTGGCTGGTGCTTTCCCGACCACTCCACACAGCTGACCACCCAGGCAAGGAGGCAGGATGATGAGTGTCGCCGCTCAGCTGCTGAGCAGTTAGCTGTGTGGGGGAGTGCCGGCTAGGCTACTTCCGCGATTGGCACGACGTGAATGACCATGGTCGTGCGTACTGCTCAGTGAGCTGTAGTTGGGACAGCTGGTCCTGGGGGGGAGGTTCCAGTTTCCCCAGGCACCTGTGATGCCGATATTCATATTTGAATCCCTTGGGATACAGATACGGTTATCCTATCTCTAATCACCTCTTCCTCCTTGTCCTCCCTCCTCCCCCTTCTCCTCCTCCTCTTGCTCCCTCCTTCCCTCTCACAATCCCAAAGGAATGGCTTTCTCTCCCCCTCTGCTGGAAGATAAATGACCTTCCTCCTCCCCACCTCTCTCCCTTCCTTGGTGGAAGAGAGACCCAGCACACGGAGAACGAGCACAGCGACATAGAAATGGGGAACAATCTTCCCCAGCAGAGGAGTGCGCATTGGGCAGGTCTATTCATAATGCATGCACTCCAAAATAAACAGACCTCTTAAGGGCATTGAGTGATCCCTTCTTTAGCCAGGCCAAAAAAAATAAACCACAACCACACAAATACTATCTATAGGGACAGGACAATCTGCCAGTGTCGTTTTCGTTGCATTTCTCAGAATCCACTGCCCTTCTTGTTCAATCCCAGTTCTGTATCAGGTTTGGAGACTTCCATTTTACGCGTGTAAATCATGATGCACATTTCCCTTGGATTATGCATTTTTATATCATTTTTCTTAGTATACAACACTTCAACACATTTTCCCTATTGACAACATAGTATTTATTTATTTATTCTATTTATATCGCATTTTTCTTAGTATACGACACTTCAACATATTTTCCCTATTGACAACATAGTAGGTTTATAGGCCTTTTTGAAATAATTGGTATTTTCAGTCATGTACATGAAATGTGTGCACACTGTTTGTTGGCTTCCCCCCTCCCCCAATCTTCGACAGCTGTGCTTTGTCCTGTTGCCAGTCTTGACAGGTGAAAAGAATGCTTTCATATGGAAATGCAAACCCAATGAATTTCTTTTTCTATCCATATCTCCCAATAGCAGCTCCATTCTAATGTTCAGGTAAACACTGTTCCATGGCCTACTTAGAAAATGGCAATACTGTACTCATATTCCACAGAGGTGGTGAGGCGATGTTCATAGCACCTGCCATCACAATTTGTAAGCAAGGGAAATATCCCTGATTAGGAGAACATACACATACACATAAAAAAACTGGTGGAGAGATTGCTAAACATTGTTTCTGCTGTCAGAGTGCTCAAAGGTAGGTGGAGTGGGACCAAGGATCAGGCCTTATTAAGCCCTGAAATATTTGAGGAAGGGACAAATGGGAAATGTCATATTGACTTAAAATGGAAATACTGGAAATTTCTCACGGAAATGTTTTGCTTCAAATGACAGAATGTGATTATGCATAATCTTTGTTTTATTATGATAAAGTGCAAACTTCATCTTGAGGATATTCTTTAATGAAAATCAGAAGTCAAATCCCAAATGTTGAAGGATAATGGATTTGTTTTATATCATAAAGATCATAAAAACAGGGTGGAACATGTGAGGAAAAGCAGGCAGAGCAGGAGGCTTATTTTTCATCATCTTTCTTAATTTCATCTGACTTCTCAACATCCTGAATTTCATCAGTACTTTCTTCTTCTCTCTCTTTCTTGTTCTGTCTTGACAAATGCTCAACTAAGTAAAAGTAGCATAGCTACTTAATAGTTTGCACTTAAAATGCAGCACAACACACAAAAAGGAGGCTACAACTATATAGATAGCAAAGGTTTTTTTTTTCTACTGCCCTTCCTTCCTTCCTTCTGATTAGAGATGGGTATGAACTGGAAAGAAGATAGGAGGGCCTGGCGTGCTCTGGTCCATGGGGTCACGAAGAGTTTGACATGACTAAATGACTAAACAACAACACAAACTGGAAAAACAGTGGTTTGTGATAATTCATGGGTCAGGCTTACCTATGAACCACAAATGATCATGAACTCCCTGAAAACTGAAGTGATTACAGTTTGTATTTCAGATTCATGCCATTGGGGAACCGTCTGCCTGCTCCTCCTTGCCCTCCTCCTGCCCCACAGGTAACAGGCCCAGCTCCATGGGCCTCTGAGCCAAGTCTGAGGTAACAGAGGCAGCCATGTTTGTAATTTGCTTTCCTTCCCCATCCTCACTTAAAATGTAACCCTGGGGTCCAATTTCAACAATAAAAAGGTAATGAATGGCAGGAATAAATTACCCCTCCCTTTGCCTCCAGGGTATTCCCCTTCCCCGACTTCCAGACCGCCTGTCGGACCCATGGTGAGCCAGGGCAGAGTGGGAAACAGAAGGACCATGGTGGTTTGCTTACTTATCTAAACTTTTATGGCACCGGATTAGTGTGAGGCACTATTCTGGGCGGTTAACAGTCAAATGAAACCGAAATACAGTATTCCAGCAATAAAAATCAACAATAAAGGATACAGTAATAAAACCAATCAGGTCAAAACATCATAAACAAACAAACCAAGAGCATCAAACCACAATTGGATGGGCAGCGCATCTTGGGTAATTCAAGTGAGGATGCCATCGAAAGCCTCTGTAAAAACCATTGTCTTACGTTGCAAACTCTTAGGGTTGGTCTACCATTATTTGCATGGTTTGTCTGATCTCAAACATCCTGGGTAATTCAGGTGAGGATGCCATTGAAAGCCTCTGTAAAAACCATTGTCTTGCGTTGCAATCTCTTAGGGTTGGTCTCCCATTATTTGCATGGTTTGTCTGATCTCAATAAATAAATCAAACCCTCCTCCCTGCTTTATTTGGAAACAGTCCAGATGGATGAATATACAAATATCTCGCCTCCTGTTTGCATAATGTTTTGATTTTCTCCTACCTGCCCATTTCCCCCCCCTTTTTTTTTCAGAAGAAAGTTTAATCCTTTCCTCCTGAAGTGATCAATATCCAGGATAAGAACCAATTTACATGTTATTCCGGCCTTTGCTGTTTGCTCAGTGCCTGAAGGAACACTTTGTTCTGTATCAACTATCAACCCAACACTGCTTTCCTCAGCAACGCAGTGAAGAGTTTCTCTCGTTCTGTGGTTATAATTCTGATTTAATGGAAACCCAATTCCTTTGAAATCAAATAGAACAACTCCTGCATTTATGAAATTTATGGCCATAGTATATCTGATGGTCTGCAGACTATTTCATAGATCAGGGCTGGGAAAACATTGTCCTGGTAAATCTTGTGGATTACAACTCCCAGATCCATGGGCCCACAGAGGCACCTGCTATGAGTCCTGAAAAGTCAATGATCTGTATTCAAGACAAAGGTCCATACATATACTGTATTGCCCTCTGTGATCCCAGCCACTCCCTCTGAGGTGTAGGGAGGTGGGGCTGTATCTTCCACCATATGCTCCATTGACTCAGCAGGCTGGTAATCAGGCTCAGCAGACTTTATGTGCGTAACAAGGAGGCTGGCATGCCCCTCAGGCCCAGTACTCTCCCTGGTTTCCAGCAGTCCCTCTGCCTGGGCTCTGATGATTGTCACCACACTCGGGTCACTTACAGTCCCTTGCTGGTGCTGACTTTGAGTCAATGGCCCCAGACTCAGCAGACTTTATTTGCGTAACGAGGCTGGCATGCCCCTCAGGCCCAGTACCCTCCCTGGTTTCCAGCAGTCCCTCTGTGTGGATTCTGATGACTGTCACCATACTTGAGTCACTTAAAGTGTATTCCTGGTGCTGACTTTGAGTCAATGGCCCCAGCTGATGGGCATTCTTTAGCAAGAGCCGGTACGCCACGCCTGCAAGGCAGCTGCCCTCTCTGTCAGAGTTGCTTCTCCCGCTCCTGGGCCAGCTGTACCAGTTTCTGATCTTGATGGCAGCATCTTCTTTGTTCCCCTTGTTGAGGAGTGGTGGAGTGTCCTCTCTGCCATCCTGCCAGTCCTGCCACCTTGGGGTGTGATGCTTGACTCACAAAGCCCTGGCCCCTTAGAGAAGGTGGTCCATACCCCTCTCTAGGGGTCTTCCTCTTCATCCCCAGGACGGAGAGGATGGGTGGCTGCTCCTTCAGCATCTCTAACCAGTCCTCCTCTTCCTGTGCTTGCATTCCCCCCACCTCCCAAGTAACCACACCTATTCCCTCCTGCCTGCCAGCTGTATCTGTGCCCTCTTCCTGAGACAACGTTCCTTCATCATCTCCTCTCTTCTCAGCCCATGTGCTGCCACTCGGTCTCTTTGTCTTCGGACTGCCCTGCAACTGATATCTTTGGGTACTCTGCTGAGGTTCCCACGGATGAGGTGGAGAGACCTCTAGAGATGGCAGAGGTGTTCTTCTTATACCCTGCAGTTCCAATCATAAAAGGGTCTTCTGAGCAGGAGGACATTTTCTCATTTAATGGCAGAAGCCTGAATGGGCAGTAGATTAGTTGTGGTTTCCATGCACTGCAAATGCAGTCATAACTGACAGCTTGCGTTTGGCCAAAATTCTCTTTCATAACTTAGCAGATGGTGTGACTTCTGGCAGCAAAGAGACCCAAGTTAAGAAATCACCGCAGACATTATCAGGTGCACACAGAGTCACACAACTCTGTATGCAACAGGTAATGTCTACAGTGATCTTGGTTCCCCCCCCCCCCCCCGAGTTACACCATCTGCATAAATGCGAGTCCAACAAGGCAAGAAGATGTGAACCATGATCTGTTGGGCTGGTTGGTTTCACCTACCTTCCTTCCTTCCTTCCTTCCTTCCTTCCTTCCTTCCTTCCTTCCTTCCTTCCTTCCAATGGATAATAAATACTACTCACCATTTGCTCTGCAAGTTGAACCTTGCAAAAGTGAAGTGTGTGCAGCCCAGTATTATGAGTTTCATCATCATCATCTTAGAACTGCAGAGCTGGAAGGGACCCTATGGACCATCAAGTCCAGCCCTTGTCATGGAGGGACAGTGGGGAATTGAACTCTCAAACTCTGGTTTCATAGGCAGATATAAAAACCACTGAAGTATCCATTTTAGCTTAGAGGCTGAGGCTAAACTTTGTAAACATTCCTTTTCAAGACAATAACACCTCCCCCACACACACACACTTCCTGTAGCTTGCATGGTTGCTGGCCCTCTGAGTGATATTAATACCAGCAGTATCCATCAAAAAAATCCAAGGGTGTGTGTGTATGTCTATTCCCTCCCCAGCCTCACCCTTCCCTCTGAATTGCTACAAATGATAGCCATCATTGTTACAGACCTCAGAACAGAAGGATGAGTGTATTAACTCTCAAGAATATTAGAAGCTTAATTGTGATGGAAATGTTCTTCCGGTTTTCAAGGGCCCAAACCACACCTGCTCCTGAGCCTTTTTAAAACACGCCGCCGTTGAGCTATTGTTGTTGTTTAAACCCTCGTTTTGGTTGTCCCACAGTTTGCTATCAAAATTGACCAAGTTGAAGAATTCCTGCAAAATTCCCAAGACTTTGAGAACCCTGAATCTCTGAAAGCCCTCCTGCATCAGCATGAACATCATACAAAAGGTATGGGGGGGGGTTCTTTCTATATTATAATACAGTACATTTAGAATGAGGTACTCACAAAGGAATGCTGTACTTCTTTTGAAGCTGGGGGAAATAGAAAGTAATTTTCTGGTTCACTATGCTAAACAATTGTACCTGAAATTATAAATGTGTAACTATGCTGCCTTCCCATATCTGTTTTCTCCATACATTCCTCTCCTATTTCACTACTGTCTTTCTTCATTCCCTATTTTCCCACTATTTTCATCCATTTTTTCCAGCTTTCGGGGGTAGGTGGGAACAAGCCAGAAACCATTAGGTTTGAATGTTGCCCTAAAACTGAAAAGAATAAGTTGAAATCCTGACTCAGTTGTGAAATTCGTCAGTGAAAATCAGTAGGTTGTCAACAGAGTAAGTCCATTGGATAAGTGGGAACTTGGTGAGTTAACTCCTGTGTAAGTTGCTTTGATCCAGTGGGCTTGCTCTAGTTGTGACTTTACTACACCGAGGAACAGGATTTCAGCCACTGAGTCATCTGGGAGATAGGCACCATCAATCAACCCAAGCCTACCTCATTGGACTATTTGGGGAATTACATGATGTGAATAGCCATTCATGTTACTAGAGTTTCTCGCAGGACAGACAAGATATAAATGCAGTGCAATATAAAGTGGCCTAAGCTAGTATAAATTGTGCTGTGCCCACTCAGCAAAGTTTACTGTTGCTGCCTTACCACTAAGCCAGGGATATCACAAGGATGTGAGCTCTTAGCTGCCACTAGGGTACTTCCACGAGTGTCGCTTCTGATAGACCCAACTCTGTTGCTTGGATGACCCCTTGTCATTTCAGGGATCATCTCATTCTTTGAGTAGCATCTGTGTACCTGATGCATCCCAAGCCCTCTATCCAGAAATGCTTGGAGTAGTTCATCATTGACCCAAATGGTCAACCAGTGATGGAGGCAATCACCAATAAGAAGTCATGACCGGTGCAATAACAGTATAGCAAATTTCCTTTTGTTTATTCCATTCTGCTTTCATGCTGCTTTGTGGTGCTGTAAGCTTTAAATCTCTACAGACATATTCTTTATATAACATTGTCCAGCATTAAGAAATCAGCCCACAGGTGCATGCACAAGGAGTCTTCAGCCGTGCACACAAATGAGTACTCTGCACAAGTCCATCAGGATCTTGAGGTCCAGTGTATCAGTCGTGACGCCAGTTTTCTCTGTGATACTTTGTTTTTGTTCTGCTTTTCTAGTCCTCAGATGTGAGCTATACATTTTATAAAATAACAGAATGGCTTCATGGGACTAATCCACATATCAATGATCGGTTATGCCTTCAAAAACAAATGTGATCCAGTGCTGATGCATTCTTTCTCCAAGGGAGAATGCATGCAACCTTTATGAACTCTGCACGTGGCATGAGCCGTGGCCAAACCACCTGGCAGCTGGATCCTCGTTCAGTGGGACTCACCTTGGTATCCATTTTGCTGGGAAAGGCAGTGCCTCTGGTTCTAGAGTCTTGAGCTCAAGAGGGTCCTCTGTGAAAGTAGCTTTAAGCAAAAGAATGCAGATGGAAAGAGCCAAAGCCAATAGAAGCCAGGTCATGGATGACCAAGGAAGCCTTGATTGATGACAAAAAGATGCTCATGGAATATTAGCGGCTGTGCCTTACAGAACCCCAAAACTTTATAGAATGCTACCAGTCAAGTCAGGAGGACTGTGACAATTCCATTCTAGGCAAGAAAACCTGAAAACAATCTTACAAAAGGGTTTGCCAGAACAGGCCTATCTGTAGTAGGTGAACCCATCGTCCACAAAATGGTGCGATTCAAGTCTTGATTCTACAACTGACTGAGAGCATTATTTTACTTGCTGAACACTTTCCCTCATCCAAGTAATGTTTTCACAATGCAGAAAAGCTCAGCCCTTGTTTTGGCACGGTGCAATTCATTGATGGATCGTTTGCCTGCCGAATGCTGTTGTCCATCTGTGCAGGCGAGCTGAATTAGGCTGAAAGGGTGCTGCAGGCAGTCAGTTGGCAACTGGGAAAGAAATATGCAGCAGTCACAGATCCACTTATGTGGCATCAAAGCTTTTATGATAACTCTGCCTCACACAGTGGTTGTTTTATGGTATATGAAAGGGTCTGTTTTTGTAAAAGCTGCAGAATGCTGTTTCTACACACTTGGGCTTTAAAACTGCATCAAGAAATCAATGGATATTTAATGGACTTTAGAAACCAACGCCAGCTTTATAGCAGTGATGTAAAGGAAGTTAAAGCTAACATAGCTCAGATAGACACAAATATGAACCACTTCCAACTAATTCACACCAGAGTCAAGGCAATTGTTCAGAAGCATGAACTGAACAATTAGAAGTTGGAAATGCTACTTTTTTAAAAAAACTACAACTCTTATAGTCAGCAATCATCCAAAAAAGTAACTTTTCTCACTTTGGGCAGTGATCCAAAAGTCTTGCTTCTGTCTTCATTGATTATTATGTATTGGTAGTGGATCGCCATCTCCCACAATGGAGGACAACAGACATCTCCTGAACTATTTTTTGCGTGCACCCGTTGCTCCCAGCTGTTAAAGTCTATCTCCCATATTCAGCAAATTCTTGCAAACATTTGAGTTTGGAGGGTGGAAAGAAAGAGCCACTTTAACCATGATCAAGAACAAGCTGAACCTAAACCAAGCTGCTACAAAAGCATGTCTGTAGCGATCCCCTCTGAAACCCCTGTCCCCTCAGGTCTTCACGAGGTTCTCACTCTTCTTCTTTCTTCGCTGCCACCAGGTATTGCTGCTTCAATACCATTTAATGAAGGAGACACGTGTGCTTTTAAAACTTAAGTTATTTATTAGATCAGGGAAATTAACATCTGATTAATACTCAATTCAGGGACGTGGTGGCGCTGCGGGCTAAACCGCAGAAGCGTGTGCTGCAGGGTCAGAAGACCAAGCAGTCGTAAGATCGAATCGACGTGACGGAGTGAGCGCCCGTCGCTTGTCCCAGCTCCCGCCAACCTAGAAAGCATGCAAATGCAAGTAGATAAATAGGGACCACTTTGGTGGGAAGGTAACAGCGTTCCGTGTCTAAGTCGCACTGGCCATGTGACCACGGAAGATTGTCTTCGGACAAAAACGCTGGCTCTATGGCTTGGAAACGGGGATGAGCACCGCCCCCTAGAGTCGAACACTACTGGACAAAAAAATTGTCAAGGGGAACCTTTACCTTTTACCTAATATTCAATAGGTAAATCACAGGTTACGAATCACTTGTATCTAAGTCAATTCTATTTAAAAACTCTATTAACTCTCTGTTCCATTCAGCGTTCTTACAGACCTCTAACTCACTCTAAGTTCACTTTTAAGTTTCACACTGTCTCTCACTCACAGAATCTCTTCTCAGACTGCCTACACCAGCCTTTATATCCAGCCCCTCCCCCCTTGGCTCCACCTTCCGTCCTCTCATTGGCTCCTACTCCACTGTTCAGCTGTGACGGACAGATGAAGGCAGGGCTGTTTGCTACAATGTCTATTTTATGTATAGAATGTATTTAGTTGAGATCAATGCTCTGGGCTAAATCCTGTTGATACAACTAGAATTGACCCACTAGATCAGTGGTTCTTAACCTTGGGTTACTCAGGTGTTTTTGGACTGCAAGTCCCAGAAGCCTTCACCACCAGCTGTGCTGGCTGGGGTTTCTGGGAGTTGCAGTTCAAAAACACATGAGTAACCCAAGGTTAAGAGCTGCACTAGATCAATGGGACTTCCATAAGATCAGCTTTCTTTTAGTGGTCAACTCTGGTTGGACCTACCAATTACATTTAACCCTCTCTGTTTATATTCACTTGCTAAGAAGTAAGCCCCACGGAAATGGGTGATATTTATTTCCAGGTAAACATACATAAAATTGTGCCGTAGATTCCACTGTTTTATGCAAACATGCTCATTGTGTCAAGCAAATTCCATAAAAATGGATAGTTAATCCTTACAAATACAGTACTCCCCATGGGGAGTTTGTCTCAGATAAACATTTTTTAAACTCACATATCAGCACATTGCATTAGAAAAAGGCACAATATTTTATAAAAACAAGCACAACTTTAATCTGTTTTAAATGCCTTTCTAATCTCTCATGCCTTTATTGCGCTCTCTTCTTTCCCTGGCCCCAAGATTCACTCATATAGTTTTAATCAACTTAGAATAAGCATAAACTAGTGTCAACTGCTTAGCACAACAGTAAATACTCCTACATTTTAAAATTGTGCATGAACAATATTGTTTTTTTTTTGTTTTTTGTTTTTTAACTTAGCTTGTTCAGTAGCTAGTGGCTTGAATCCTCTATTGATCTGTTCAAGACCTCAGAATTCAGAATTCTGGACTGACGCCTGGTCACTCTCATGCGAATTTGGTGGTCTCAGATCAAGCTCCATTGGTGGGATGGAAGTACAGTTCAATCACAGAGCAATGTGGCCTTACCTACCCTGATAGTGACCGATTGTTGTGAAAAGAAATTAAAAGAAAGGGGGGGATGAAAGAGGGCACATTAGTGAAAACAATCTTACAAAAGGGTTTACCAGAAAGAAAATAATCTTGAAAAACATGGATGTTTCCAAAAGAGGCAAGAGTGGGGGATCTGATCTCTTCTCTTCTCTGTCTGCACGTCTTTGAAGGCAGAGATAAGGATTCAGAAAGCGAGTAGTCATGTATGTAATTAAAACTGTCTTTTGCATTGTTCACGGAGTGGCAATCAAATCAGATTTTATCAACAGGTAGGCTGATGAGGGAGTGGGGGAGCCTGATGGTATTTTGCTACTCCTAGTTATGAAATTAGATATGCAAATTAGGCACATCTCCTTTGACTGCTTTGACCCATTGGGCCCAGCCTTCCAACAATCTTTGGAAAAGGAAGTCGGAAGAATGGGATTACCAAGTCCTTCCCATACTAGCCAGTTATTTCCGTCTTTTGTTTTGTTTCCCTGCCAGTTCTTGGACTTCTTCTTCCTTT